CATTCATACAATGCCAGCAATGCATTCTACTATTCAATACTTGCCCTGGGACCCAAGATAGCAGTTCATTCTGTATTTGAAATCGCGGATTTTGTGTATTTTAAGTCGCCGATTTTGTCAACTGTTCCTACCTTGCCCTGTCTCACTCCCAGCTCTACCACTCTGACCTCGCATCTCCAAACCTCCTCTTGAATTATGAGTGACAACAAAGATAAACTTGGGAACCGTTCCCTCTCTTTTAGAAGCAACTTTAGGCCTTTGGAAGAGGTCTGTATTTTTCGTTTTCTCCTTTTGTACCGGTTCTGATTTTGGATTCCCAGTCTGTCGCTAAGATTAAGCCAGGACAGATATATGGATCAGTTTCAACACCAAGCTTTGTCACTTGTGACGCTCACGATGCCATAGATTATCGTGTTTTACTTATTACAAGCGCTACTGTGGCCCATGTTCTGTCGCCCCTCTTTATTTATGGGGTATCAGGCAGAGTTCTCCTCTTGAATAGCCCCGCGCCTCCGATTTTCAATTATTACATCGAGATGGTGAGAAAGATTTGCTCTGTTCCAAACCAAATTGAAGATTCGGCCGATAAGACATTCACCTCCGGTGTCGGCTTAGTTGTTGCCGTGCTCAAACCAAATATTGAAGAAGATTCCGAGCTCAAGATCGGGAAGAAAGTCGACCTGTTAATTCAAGTTAACCACAGCGATTGGGATCCCATTGTTAGTTTTGGTTTCTAAATTCTTCACTAAATACTGATTGATTCTGTCGCAGGATCGCTTGGTCAAAACCTTCAACGTCAAATATATTGTTCCCGCCAATCCGAAGTTAGTGAACACCCACATCATGATTCGGGTTGGCAGGGAATTTACTTTTGATGGATATTTATCTGGATGGGACTTGAAAGAGCGTATGGCCATAATCACAGTGCGTGGAAAGGTTTATAAATTATTCTCATCTATGTGATGCATAATTAATTTTGACTCTACCTTCTGCAGGTCCTCGGGTTCAGTCCCATTAACATGGGCGCTTCATCTCCAAATCAGAAGACCAATCCTTATTCACCTAAATCCAGCCCTGGGAACAAGGGTCGAAGATTGTGAGATCTCCGCTTGCTAAGCCAAAGTTTCATGAGCTGAATTTTGATTTTCGCAGTATAACCTTTGAAGAACATGAACCGAAGACTGCACAAGCATCAACGGAGAGCAGCGGCAGTAACGCAGAAGCAAATCATACCGCGATTCCTTTTCCGTCAACTTCTCAATCTTCAAGCGGAGCGGCTTTGGGGAGAGAAGATTTCGAACCAGAACCCATCGCAGGAATAGGCTTGAACGCAAAAGGCAAGAACAAAGCTGTAGAGTTCTCCACACCGCCTAAAAAAAGGCGCGGGGCCCCTGGGTCCAACTCTTGATTTAACCATGATCCCGTGGTCGAGGACCGCGATTCGTAATTTTTAGCGTTTTGCTTTAGGCAATGGTCTTTTTATTGAATATGTATCCGCTTCTAGGTCTTATTTCTATCCTGTTATCCATCTCGGATTATGTCGCCCTTTCGCCGAATAAGGCATATGTTTAGTGCTCAAGTTCTCTCGCCCAACGCCAACTTATTCCGAGTGTCATCTCATCAAATTTTTTATTGAAACATAAAGATTTGCGCTACTTTTGTGTCATACTCTCGTGATATTTGTATCGCTACATTTTTCGAAAGCTTGATTCATAACTTCATCTTGGGCCCACTGTCCCTTACCCCAACATCGACCCACATTCAATTGCATCAAATTATTGTTGACATTTCCGCGTTTCTCAATAAGCTACAATGCAAGAGGCTCCACCTCCAACCTCACCAATACTTGCGAGGCTCTGGCCGAATGGTCAACACACGTTGGGCCCATGTACTGTTGTATGTGATGACTGCGGGGCTTTGCATTGGCCCGAAGAAAGAGCTCAAGCTGACATCAAAGCGAAACGTAACCAATTTGCGATGTGCTGCCAAAAAGGTAAAGTTACATTGCCTTCAACTTCGGTCTCAGCTCCAAAAATTCCCTTATTCCTGGAAAATCTGTTCCGCGGTGAAAGTCGAGGTGTGTTATCTCAGCTCATAATTTATTGCTATAAATGTACTTACATGTTGCTTCAGAAGCAAAGAATTTCCAACGTTATATTCGGTCTTATAATAATGCAGTGTCGTTCACTTCGCTAGGGTTCACTCTAAGTGATATTGCTAAATCTATACCCGGCTCTCCAGTCTTTTGTATCCAAGGAGGTCTCAGCCATGATATTGGGTCCATTGTCCCGCAAGAAGGGCAAAGCCCTCATTTTGCCCAAATTTTCGTGGTCGGGGATGGTGGTATGCGCGAGGCAAAATATAGACGAGACATTGCTCTTGGGTCGAAAGCATCAGGGCAACTTCAGGCGCAATTTGATGCTAAAATCATCCTTCAACTGCAGACTTTTATGTACAAGCATAATCCGTATGCGCAACTTTTCCGACACACTGCCGAGATCATGAAAGAAGGTCAAAACGTTTTGCTTGTACTAAGATCAATTGAAAATGATTCTCTAGACTTGAATCGCTACAATCGACCGACTCGTGAAGACGTAGGCATCGTGGTACAAGGTGACGGTGTCCTCAAAGAGCCCAGACACATTGTCTTGCATCATCGGAACGGATCTCTCAAAAGTATCTCAGATCTCCATTCTGCATACTTTCCCTTAAGGTATCCTCTGTTTTTCCCGTATGGTTCTCAACAATGGGAACCCACATACCAAATACTTCTTAAAGATGCCGAGAAAGAAGAATATCGGCATGTTTCTCAATGTGAGTGGATGGCGTACCTTCTATTTTCAAGGAAGGCACAATTTTTGGCTATTCTCGCTGGCCAAGCGTTACATCAAGAAATAGTCGTGGACATGTACGCATGTATTGAACATTCTCGATTGAGTTGGGTGTACAATAATCAGGAGACTTTAAAAGTACAAATGTATTCTGGCCTGGTGGAAGCCTTCGGCAAGACTGGCGAACCAAATGGCCGAAAAGTAGTTTTACCTTCAACGTTTATTGGAGGGCCCCGGGCTATGGACCAACTTTATCAGGATGCGATGGCAATTGTTCGAGACTATGGAACTCCGGACTTATTCATTACCATCACAGCCAACCCAGCATGGAAAGAAATCACAGACCTTATTCCACCTGGATCGGATCCATTAAATCACCCCACAATCATTGCCCGAGGCGCAAAGCTTAAATTCAAAAGTTTTATGGACATGCTGGTCAAGAAGCATATATTAGGCCGAGTTGAAGCCTACGTAGCAACAGTTGAATTTCAAAAAAGAGGGATGCCTCATATGCATATCATGTTGACCTTGTCTGCGGATTCGAAACCGGATAACCCAAGCAAAATTGATAAAGTAGTTCAAGCCAAGATTCCGTGCCCAGTTGCGGACCCAGATTTATATAAAATTGTTTCTCGGTGTATGTTACATGGGCCATGCGAAGGGAAGAGTTGTCTTCGACAGGGCCACTGTCAATTTCGTTACCCAAAGGAGTTTTGAGAAGAAACTATTCTTCAGGAAGGAGCATATCCAGAATATAGACGCAGGGACAACGGACGGAAGATTGTCAAAGGTGCATTAAGTTACGATAATAGGAATGTTGTGCCGTACAATCGGGACCTCAGCCTCATGATGAATTGCCACGTCAATGTAGAAGTGGCAGTTGGGATTCAAGCAATCAAATATCTGTATAAATACATCTGCAAAGGGCATGATCGATCGTACTTGGCCCTAGAATGTAACGATGAGGTCAAAGCATTTGTAGATGCAAGATTCATTGGCCCTGTTGAAGGTATGTCGTCTGCTAATGAGCTTTTATATTGGTGCTTGGAACTGATTTTAATGATCTTAAGCGTGCTGGAGAATATTTCAATTCGAGTTGTCGGAGCGTTTCCCTTCTGTTCAGCGGTTAGGAGTCCATGAAGAAGATGCTCAGTCAATATTCTATCGTTCAGAAGATGAAGCAAGGAAGAAACTGAACAATGAGAAAGTCTCCAGGACCATGCTAAACCAATTTTTCGAGCTGAACCGATTGGACGAACAGGCTCTCGGAATTTCGGCTCGAGATTGTTATTACTACGAAATTCCGAAATACTTTTGCTGGGATAAAGAAGTTAATAGGTGGCGGCCAAGGAAACGAGTACTTAAAACAGTCGGGCGTATTCATTTTATTTCAATTCATCAAGGAGAAAGGTATTATATCAGACTATTATTGATTCATCGTAAGGACATTCGTTCCTGGACAGATCTCAAATCGGCGCATGGCATAATTTATGCCGACTGCAGAGCAGCGGCTGACGCATTGGGTTTACTGAGGAACGATGTTCAATACGACGAAGCATTGAACGAGGGATCAAAGTTTAAAACTGGTTTTCAGCTTAGACTGATGTTTGCTATAATGCTGGTGTATAGTCCTCCTGCGGCTCCCACTAATTTGTTTAATGGACACTGGCTACAATTGGGAGACGATTCAGCCTATACACTCAGAACCTGCCACGGAATCACGGAGCCGACACTTATCCAGCTCAGAGCTTTCACGTTACATCAAATAAGCAAGATTCTGGTTTCGATGGGTACTCATCTAGAAGACGTGAGTTTGCCCATGACACCTGAAGAGGTCAACGTTGTGGAGTCGATTCTCTCAGCAAAATTTGATGAAAACGATC